AAAAAAAAAGGGGGTTATTATGCAATCCAATGTAGGTTAGATTGTATAATTTTAACTATAAATAAATAAATAAAAAGATGATGGAGGTAGGGCCTAAATAAGGAACTCAAATTTTAAGGAGAAGCCTGTTTCCATTTTTGGGCTCTCTTCTGCCATTTGTAAAGGGCAGTGCTTTGTTGGATCATAGATTGGACTCTGAACTGAATCACCAATTGGACCTATCTTCCGTTCTTTTTTCCTTCTTGAGTCTTGACCCAAGTCAATATAGTTCCTTTTTAGTTGCATACTCAACATAAGGAATTTTCTTTCTTTTTTTAAGAAGTCATGAACTTGAGGGAAAAAATTTAAGAAATATAAGAAAGTGATGGGTATTAACGATTAATAAAGTATTATTCAAATGGGTCCAACAGTCAAAATCTAGTTGATCCATATCTGATTTTATTAGTATCCTAATTCCTCTTCCTAAGTCAAACTTGTTTTCTTAACTTCAACCACGTAATTTAAGATTAAAACTTCAATTATTTTTAAAAATTAAAACTGATATATACTCTCTTTAATATATAATTTATTTTTTAATATTTTACTTACTGTGACTCATACTATCTCCATGATTACAAGTTTTTTAAGCCCATAAAATTCATTCGATTTATTATTATTCTTTCTGAAAAAAAAAAAAAAGAGAAAACACAAAAGGGATACTTTTGTCATTTCGAAGATTTCCTTTTTTTTCCAAACCTTGGATGCCCATCCTTTTTTCACCAAACCTTGGATGCCCATCTGCATGCATTAGCTACTACCGACGGTATGCAACACACGAAATTCCATATTTACCCTTCCAACGAACTATTTTTTTGTCACATAACCAACTCTCTATTGACAACCAAATTTGTGACAGTAATCACCCATTTGATGAGGCATTGTTCACCGTCCGATCTTCAGAAATCTAAATTTTCTGATATGATTTGGACCTGGATCTACTTGTAGGCTGTGGAAATGCTGTAGAATGCAAAGGGGCAATTGGGCCCAACTCAGCTTTCCTTAATTTAATTCTGGGTCCTTTTTTTGATTTGATTTTTCCTAACGGTTCAATCATTCAGAAGAATGTAGTGAGATCCCCACAGAAAGAATCATCTCAACTGAAGAACCAAGGGCCCACTTACCTAAGTTAATGCAACCGATCCGGTTAACTTGAAATTTGGGCCAAATTTAACTGGTCTGGTTTAGTAACTTCAAAATTTTAAGACTAATCACTTTTTGATACGGAAGCATCTTATTTTGCAATCTATAATTGTAAAATAGAAATTATTAGATATAGAAAAAATTATTAATATTAAGAAATTCATCTTTTATTTAAAAATTTTAATTATATAGTTTAGTTTAATTTAAATTATAAAATAATTTTCTATTGATATAAATACAAGTTAATTTTTCTAAACAAAATGAACATAATTTGATAATTTCAACTAATCATACTAGAAGTTCATCCAAACATATTGACACCCTCTTAACAATGCTATTAAGCTTACATAAAAACATATATTATAGAAAATTGTCATAAACCTAATACAATATTTGTAATTATTGAAAAAAATTAATAATTTGTTATTTAAACTATACCAGATTATAAAATAGAGGGTCATTAGATAAAGGATAGTTCTAATACTAAGAGTTCATCTTATTCAATAATAAGTATTATGTAATTCAATATAATATAAATTGTACAATTTTTTTTACTAAAAACCCCTTATTGCTTGAAAAAATTAAAATCCCTTCATTTGTAAATAGTAGAATCTACAACCTTAAAGTAGCTCTTTAGATTTAGCATATGAAATTTGCTAATTTATCATTTTAATACTAAAATTATAGAATAATATTTCTTATTTAATTTCATTTGAATATGAACAGAAAACCCCATGCTCACCATCAAATTGATATTTTGGTTACAAGGTAAATTAATTTGACTATGAACTAATTACTTCCGGTTTGTTGAGAAATTTCAAATCGGAATTGAAGCAGATAGACGTTTGCATATCGGTTTGATAATAGGATGATTTGACTATAAACCAGTCATTCTCGGTCTGGATAGGAATTTAAAACCAAAATTGAACCAAATCTCGGTTTGCAAGTTGGCCACAACGCGAACCCGCTTTTCTGGAACCAACCATTTCCTTAACAGCGTGACTATGACACATGTGATAACAAAGCCCTCACGAAGGGCATTGGGTAGAAAGGTAAATTCACGTCTAGTGTGGGCCCGTGGCACCATCAAAGCTATCAAAACGACAAACAGGGCATCGCCATTCCAAGACAGGGAGCCACGCGTCATTACAAAATTGCCACTGTCCCATTTTCGTCATTTCGTACTTCCCCCCACCACTCTAACTCCACCAGTTCACTAGCCTCTCTCAGTCATTCTCTCTCTCTCTTTCTGTGTGCAAAAACCGGAACTTTCTGCTCGCCGGAAATACGGAAGCGAATAGAAGATGGGTAGTCGGACTCAGGCTCGTCAGCTGAGCAATGGGTTGTTTGTGTCGGGAATGCCGGAGCAACTGAAGGAGAGGCAGTCGGTAATGTCGTCACGAGCAGCGCCTTACACCGGCGGTGACGTGAAGAAATCTGGAGAGCTGGGGAAAATGTTTGACATACCAGTCCTCGACCGCCCTCCTTCCAATCCCAACTCCAACCCCAACTCTAAGCAGCTGCCGCAACCGTCACGCGCCTCCTCTTCGTCACAGCCCAATAGTGGATCCATTCGATCCGGGCCTAATTCTGGGCCGATGAGGAAGTCTTCTGGGCCCATGCCGCTCCATCCTACAGGACTCATCACCTCCGGTCCTCTGAGTTCCGGCTCCAGGAGGTCGGGACATCTGAGTCAGGCGGAGCAAGCTACTCCCGGGTCGGGTAAGGCGGGGTACGGACCGGCTGTGACGAGTCTCGGGGACGGCGGCCTAAGAGTTGGGTTCAAGGTGTCAAAGGTGGTAGTATGGGCAGTGATGGTGGTGGTCTTGGTAGGGTTGTTAGTGGGGGCATTCTTGGTGGTGGCGGTGAAGAAGATGCTGGTTCTTGTGGCGGTGGCGGGAGTGCTGGGACCCGTGGTGGTGGGATTGATGTGGAATTGTGCTTGGGGAAGAAGAGGGCTGTTGGGGTACGTGAAGCGCTACCCAGATGCTGAACTTAGAGGCGCCGCTGATGGGCAGTACGTCAAAGTCACTGGGGTAAGCAAGTAATACTCTTTTTATTCATTTGTTTATTTATGGAAGCTTAAGACTGCTTTAAAATATTGGATTTAGATAATTTAGGTACTTTGCAATAACATCTGCCGTTTTAGAGAAATGGCTAATATTATAAGTTTGTTAAGAACATGGAACCTGTCATTGTTATTGAATATTGATGGTTGGATTTGAAAGCTAAGGAGAGATTGAAATGTTGTGAGTTTCGTTAACGGGATAAATGTAGCTTTGGTCTGGATGTTGACTAGGGTAGTGGATATCGTGGGACGAAAAACAACCTGTCCTAGTCTAAGTGGTATTTTCGGTTTCCCAGTTGGAGGATTTAGTGAAGTTCTGGTTAGACTTTCAAGTGAGTAGTCTTGTTCTGCGAGGAAAATCAGCAAGCTTAGAATGTAGTTTTTGTATGGCTGTCAAGTGCCGGTACGGATTTACATTGAGACCATGTTTTTTGCTTCTTTAGTGGACTGGGGAGCAATTTATTGGGAAGCTTTCTAAATTTAGTATAAGAATGCATGGGACGGTGGTGGTTATAGTCTTATAGAAGGACCTTTGCGCTTCAACTTTAGTTAAAAGTTCCACTACTATTTCCCATCTGTGGATTTTTAGTTGATTTTGATCAGTACCAATGATCCATGTTTCTCATGAATTTAATAGTTCAAGCTGATTGTTTTTTATTTTTTTGATAGTCTAACTAGTCTATTTCTAGCTGTGGTTCTAAATTGCTATCTCAAACATATTGCTAGGTTGTTACTTGTGGCAGCATTTCTCTGGAGTCATCTTACCAGAGGGTGCCTAGATGTGTATATGTTTCCACAGAATTGTATGAGTATAAAGGATGGGGAGGAAAGTCTGCAAATCCTAAGCATCATTGCTTCTCCTGGGGGTGTAGGCATTCAGAGGTTAGTTATGAAATTACACATCTTAACCTCTCTATGTGATAGCTTAAGATGTTTTCCTTGCAGTATGTAAGACTAAAGATTTCGTAATAAGGGATAACCTACCCATATCCTAGAAGCCTTCTTTACTCCTATCACATTAAATTGAACCTGAGATATTGTCAGTCCAAGATGTCTCCAAACTCCTAAATCAGTAAGGAGGGTGGACCATTTTTTCACTACACTCATTCCATCAACGTTTTCCTAGAAACAATATTGGAATTTGTATGTTCTGTTATAAGTTATAACAATGTGCATTTTGTTTTATCTGACAAGAAACTTTTCTATAAGATTGACTGCTTGCCTGTTGTGAACAGAAATACATTGCTGACTTTTACTTATCAGACTTCCAATCCGGTTTAAGAGCATTAGTTAAAGCAGGATATGGAGCTAAGGTTGCTCCATTTGTCAGACCAGCTACCATTGTTGATGTGACAAAAGAAAACAGAGACCTATCTCCAAGCTTTTTTCACTGGCTAGCTGAGCGCAACCTTTCCAGTGATGACCGTATAATGCGCCTAAAAGAAGGGTATGCTACTAAGTCTTCAATTCTAGCCCCTTATTTATATGTTGTATTTGTCAGCTGTTTGTAGGTCTTAACCTTTGATTATAATTTATTTAACATGCGCTAAATTAATTATGAAAGCACACTTGTTGTGACACAGTTATATTGAAGAAGGGAGCACCGTGAGTGTGATGGGAGTGGTCCGACGCCATGATAATGTCCTCATGATTGTTCCATCCTCACAGCCAATCTCAACAGGTTGTCTGTGGAACCGCCTCCTCCTCCCAACATATGTTGAAGGTCTTATTCTGACGTGTGATGAGACTCCAGATACAAATGTTGTCCCTGTGTAGTAAACTCCATTTCATCTTAAGTTTGTTTGCAACTGGATGTCACAAGAAATACTATAATGGTGGATACGTGATGCAGACAGCTGCCTGATTGGTCTTCTCGTTCGCAGTTATGAAGTGTAAGTAAATGGCCTGGAAGAATGTCCAACAGGAATGCTAAAGATCATAATATGTTGACTATAATCTACCTCCAAATCAGGATATGGCGGGCAGTTGTTGAGGTTCACCACTGAGGAATTTCATGTCGGAAGCTAGATATATTGTGTTCTGAAGATGCTGAGGTTTGGTTTGATTTTCTGTACGTAAGTAGCAGATGAGCCATAAAGGTTTCAAAAACGGTTGCTTTTAGGCTCTGTAAAGTACTTAACTCCACTTGGGTTTTTTCACGTTCTTTGGTTTGTTCATATCATGTTCTAGGTTGTATCAAGGAACTAATCTATGTTTATATTCTGAAATATATGCTTATAATAATGAAGATTATCCCCGATGCTTTTCAATATGGTAAAGAATTTTTTGTCATTGAGAGATATCACTGTATGTTTAGATTCTGGCATGTATGCTCATGTGAATGAAAGCTATTCCTAATACTTCCTAATATGTGGCGAAAAACAAAGAGATGGACTTCTAATCCTGGATTTTTATTGATCTTCACTTATAAAAGTTCTCACTCGAGAAGATAAAAAGTGTATGGTGATGCACGATGAAGATATGCCCTGTGAGGAAGAAAAGAAACATAGGGAACCACGGTCTAGAAGAGATACAAAGAAAAGAAAGAGAGGGAACTAGAGTCTAGAAGGGATACCCCCAGCCACAACAATTGTTTCTCCTGTTATATAAGAAGCATCATCAGAAGCCAAGAATGCAGTAGCAGCTGCCATATCTTCTGTGGTACCAAGTTTGTTAAGTAAGGTCTTCTCCTCAATGGCCTTTCTCTGCAAAAAGAAAAAAAAAAATGTTTAAATTTAGTCCATGACAAATCACAGCACTAGACCAAACTGGAGGCACAATTGAATGCATGAAATACACTTACTGCATCACCATCTTTCATCAGAAGTTCGGCAAAGTAGGTAGGCACATAGCCGGGAGCAACACAGTTTACGCGAGTATGTGGAGCCATCTCAGATGCAAGTGCCTAAACAAGGTTTAAGGAAGAAGATTAAGATATTGACTCATATACAAATTGATGGCTCAAAAGCACATACATCAAACACAGACCTTGGTCAGTCCAAGAAGGGCAGTCTTAGTTACCCCATACATAACCAAAGGAGACCTTGGTTGATAGCCAGCAATAGAAGAAATGAAAATAACCGAAGAACCCTTCTGTAAATGAGGAGCTGCATCCTGCCGAGGATAAAGTTGTTTTTGAACCTCCAAACCCAAACATAACCAACAAATGGAGATTATGAAAAAGGGAGCTATCTAAGGATAATGAAACAGCAAAAATGAGTTACCTGTAGAATAAGGATAGCTGCTTTGACATTAATTTCCCACAGCTTGTCAAGGACAGACTCTTGAGTTTGTAAAATGGCAACGACAGATGGATTGACAGCAGCATTTGAGACAACCACATCTATTTTTCCATATTTCTGAAACCGAATGAGAAAATTCTTAAATGAAGTAGCATTCAAAAACTCATCCACTAATGTATTTACATTTCTTTCTAAAGAAAAACCAAGGAAAAGACACGGATACAAGAAAGATTAGAGATTAGTTTGAATTGGTATAGTAACCTCAATGGTCTTGCTTATAAGAGTCTTCCTTTGCTGCGCATTTGACACATGACAAACAACTCCCAATACTTCAATTCCTTTAGCTTTGAGCTTTTCAACTGCCACATCAACATTTTTCTATAACAATGTCACCAAAAAGCAAAACTGATCACCAAATTCAATACGAGAAACAGGCAAATTTCTGAACAAATTTAGCATGTTATTGCTCTTAGAACTAGAACACCCTGCAAAAACAATCATCTTGTATAATTTTCATTATTCTGTAAGGAAAATAACAAATTTCATTCTCAGAACTAAAGAAAATGGAGCTGAAGGAATAAAAGTCCACCCAACCCAACAGACCTGATACAACTATATAGCACAAAATGATAAATTTAAAATTAAACAAGACCCATAAACACAAATAATCTTTTATCTAAGATACCAGTATAAGCATGCAAAACTGAACAAAAACCGTTTGAATTTGAAGCTGGAAATATTTTTTTAAAAAATGGGAGACAAGATAATTAAAAAAAAAAAACCCAAAAACCTGCTTGCGGGAAGAGATCACAACGAAAGCTCCTTCCAAGCCAAGACGCTCGGCGATGCCGAAACCGATGCCTTGAGTCGATGCCGTTACGATCGCAACTTTCCCTTCAAATCTCCTTCCTATCTTCGTTTTCTCCATGTTCGCTGCACAGCAGAAGTCAATGGCTCTCTCTGGAGATGTCAGTACCATGTTACCATCTTGCCACACCACTTTCTTCTTACGGATTTCCGCTTAGTTACTTTCCATTGTCGTTTTTATATACCATAGTTAACGTATCATAAATATTAGGTGGTGTTATATAATAATTTTTTATATTATTTTTTTATATAAATTTTAAATATTATTAAATAAATAAACATATTTAATATAATGAGTTTTCATATAAATTAAAAAATTTAATCATTTTAATAATATATTAAAATTATACAAAAATCATTTCCCTAAATATTAAATCATCGGGATTGAGTGACCAATCAAATCAAAATGTGATTCCAATAAAATAGCGTTGATTATTATTAGCAACGGTCTTTTTAACCTATATTTTTGTGTGCAGTATATTTATCATATATTTATTTTTAAAGTTTTAATTTATATTTAAAAATTAAAATTAAAATTTAAAATTTAAAATTCACTTTATTAAATATTAAAATTTTAAATTTAAAACTTAATTATATAAAAATATATAATTAATTTTTAAATTTGAATATTAATGTTTAATAAGATATATTTTAAAATTTTAAATTAAGATTTAATTAAATAAATAAGGTAATATAAGAATAAGGTAATATAA